TCAGATGAAACATCTTTCTCCTTGAACATAAGGCCCTAAAATCTGTCTGCATCTGTAGCATTTGTGATGCAGTAGGACACTTCACCTGTATTAAAAGGGCCAAGAGTAAATGACCTTTTGTTAAACATGTCTATAGAATTGGCAGTTAATGCTGAAATATGTCAACTAGCCCTTTCAAAATTATACTTGTGGAATAAAATAAATTGATCTACCTAATTTCTATTGACTTAATTTGCAGTTTGTCTATTTGTTAAGTTTCTTATTACGTATCCGTATTTTTTTGCTATAGGTTGTGTGCGCTTGCCTGTGGGGGAGAAAGAAAGGGAGAAAGTGCCTCCTGTGGGGGGGACGCACATGTACCCCATGCCCAGCATGATTTTCCAGTCTCTGGGTCCAGGACTTGACAGCACAGTCAGCCATGTGAGACTCAGCTGCCTTAACCTCCACATCACCTACCGGCCCTCTTACTATATTCTTTAGATTCCAGCTACTACCATATGCAGAAAAAAATTATTGTAGTCTTAATTTGGTTTTAAACTAAATAAAATCTGAGTAGTTTTATTTAATTTTTCTGTTTGTAAAGACTTTGTTATTAAGAGATGATTAAATGTTTGCATGTTGTATTTTTCTGTCTTACATGAAATACTCTTTATGACAATTCTGTTAGATATAGAAACATGGGTAAGAAAACAGCTTACATCCTGAAAAGTGAAATACATTTATAACAAGGTTAGGGAGGAAATAGTTACATCTCTTAGAGTAGAAATAAAGTTCCTAGACATCTATAGAGGAGGGCAGGCAGGTGCTATGTACTCCCATGTGGTAGATCATGGTTTGTGTCCTGGACCTAGCGACTTGAAAATCATGCTGTGTGTGTGTGCCCCAAACTTCGGAAGGGATAAGGGATTGTGGTGTGGCCATCTCCACTGAGGGGGGGTGGTTTCTCACTTTTCCTCTCTCTGGCGAGCGCATGCACCCTATAACAAAATTTGAGCAGCATACAGGAATGAGTTACTTAGGAGATAGGTTGAATGATAGGCTAGAGAAAAATCTTAGAGGTGGCTTAAGAGATGGGTTGCTGGGGCCAGCAGATGGTGTAGTGGTTGCATCATTGGACTCCTACATGGCCAACTGTGGTTCAAGTCCCAAACCTGGTGGCTTGAAAATCATGCTGAGCGCATGTGCATGCATGTCCAAGATCCCAGGAAGAGAATGGAGGAAAAGGGGATTGCGATGGGATCATCCCCTCAGGGTGATTTCTCACCTCTGTCACTGTCACTGTCTCTGGTGAGCACACATGCCCTAAGGCTAAAACCTCAAAAAAAAAAAAAAGAAAGCTGGGTTGCTATAAGGAGTGGTAGGGGAAGGAAAGGAAAGAATATTTCAGCACAGGGAATGTTTTTTCTTTTTCTTTTAAATAGTATATTTAGCCCAACACACCCAAAATAGTATTTTGAGATGTAATCAATATAAAAATTACTAATGAGATATTTTACCCTTTGCCATGCTAAGTCTTCAAAATTCAGCGTGTATTTCATACTTAAAGCACACATCAAAAAGGCAAGGAGTTGAACGTGGACGTTTCTAAGGAATAAATAAATGGCCAGCAGGTGGTGTGATGGGTACGTCTCTTGACTCCCATGTGGTTGACCGTGGTTTGAGTCCCAGACCCAGTGGCTTAAACTCAATGTGTGTGTGCCCCAAATCCCAAGAGGCTAATGGAAGAAAAGGGACTGTGGCATGGCCTTCCCCCCTGGAAGGAGATTTTCCATTTTCTTTCTTTTTCAGTCTCCAGCGAGCGCACTTGCCCTGTATAGCGAAAATCAGAAAAAATTTTAGTTGGAGAGCATGGAGTGTGGAAGGACTCGGTTTTCCTCTATTAAAACTTCTCTTATCTTCAGCTCACTGAACGACACCGTCGGCATTCACCCTCTCGGGTACTCAGACCAACCTTGCAGGCATCTTCAATTCTGCCCTCACGGAGGTGGGGACAGACATCCACCAAAATGTCCTGAGTTTGTTTCTCTCCACTGCTGGCACCATGCGCAAGGCCACTAGCCTTTCTTACGCGGACAACTGCTACAGTTGCTAACACTTTCTCCTATTCACTTGTTCATGTCTTGCCCCTTCCCATTCTTTTTTTTTTTTTTCTTTTTAAGAATTATTTAACTTTTATTTATTTTAAATTTGACCAGTGAGAGCGTAAGCGAGAGAGAGAGAGGGGAAATAAGAAAGCAAGCCACCAAGTCTGGAACTCAAACCACAGTTGGCCATGTGGAAGTCCAACACCCCTAGT